TGGGGATTTTTTTTTTTTTCAGATTTAAATAATGAGTTAATCTGAAAAAAAAAAAAAAGAAAAAGAAATTTGTCCTCGAATTTTAGCCAGGAATTGAATGATGACAAATCCTCAGTTTTCATCCTGCTGACTCCTCTGGGGCCTTTAATACTTGACAAATAGTAGAGAAGAAAATGTAGTGCTGAGAATGTGAAAATGCTATTATCATCTTTCTAGAGTATTGCATAAAGTTGATGGTCATTAAAATTATAATTCCAGGAAGAAAGAAACATCCAAATAATTAATTTGAATAATTTTCCAGGAATTCCAAATGTAGGTCTTATATGAACCTTGACAACAAAATTTGTTTAGTAGGTACAAGCAGTGAGAGGAAGCACAGAACTCTTGGGAGTCAGGCAATAGTCCTTGAGTAGCTGATTTCAGCAAGCCCACCTTACAGGACATATCTCCAATGGCATTGCAAAACCAAGCAGTGAGGAAAACCTGCACATGTAAGCTTCCATGATGAGATAAAATACCAGAAGAAGCAGGGCCACTGCAAAGGCTACTTTGTAAATAAACATAAATAAGCAGACTAAGATCTACGCAAAGATTTATTATATATATATATTGGAAACCAGTTTTATAGACAGTTGTCAAATGAGTTACAAACCACAATCTCTTTAAGGTACCATGTATATTAAGGAAGTATTTTCTTCTTCTAGACAACAATCTCTGACACAATCCTTTCAAAGAAAATGTCTCATTTAAATCAAACACTACTTTGCTGATTTTTAATTTACAGAGAATTTGAAATTAGAAACTTAAATTATGTACCATCTTACATGTCACATCATTGATCCTCTTTAAAATTCTACATATAAACAAAGTAAAGCAAAGACATGAGGAATTTTAAAAGACTACCTCGTATTATTGCCAGAGATGCAAATCTTGATATTCTCTCAGTAAAACTGTATTTACAGGAGGCAAGTGTTTTTCAACCACACTTTATTATTTGGCCCCAAATATCTTTCATACATTCCTTTGAGACTTATCTTGGCAAACAAGGAGGTAAAACAAGTAGGCCAAATGGCACATCACAAAACTCTCAAAAGTAGAACATACTCAGAATTGTAAAGGACAATGCTTATGACATTTGGTATTTCATCTTGACACCAATAAACTTAGAAGGGAACCCTTATTATCTATTATTGCCTGAATTTTTAAGCCCCAAATTAAACATAATTTAAGTTATCTTAGTTGAAAAACTGATGATAATCTTATATTTTAAAACTATATGATTGCATATAGGTAGGCTTAAATGCACATACCATCACACATAGAATCACAAATAATTATAAAAGAAAGTGAACCCATTCTTTTTGAAACAATTAATATGTGCAGATTTTCTTTACTGTCCACATATATTTAAAATTATAAATCAAATCTTAGCAGCATTAATTCATCACTGATACATAAAATCTTTACTAGAATTAAAATTACTACAAGGCCATTGAGTCATTAAAAAGAAAAGCCAAATGCTTATAAGTAGATTTAACAATACCAAATTTGCTCTGAAAGAATAAAGGATACTGTGTCACATAATCTCCTTATTTACTTTGATTACTGGTCTGTAATTTTGCTGAAAATTACAGCAAAACAATAAAAAATGAGTTTTGACATTCAAAGTCAGATTTGGTTGTGCCAGCAAAGAGCATATACTATGAATCAATAAATTTGAGAAGCATTCCTTTTGAATAATGATTTTGAAAATTCTCATGAATCCAAAAAAGTAAAATGCTCCTTTTCTATTTTGAAATTCTGTTAAAATATAACTCCCTATATATTCAATACATTGCTTGTAATAATTTAAAAAATAAAAAACAAATAAAAACCACAAAAAACAAAACAAAAAAAAGAAACTCAAAAACTATTTAAAGAAACCAATAAAATAATACTGGTATTATCTACAGTACTCCTAATGTTCTGAAGAAGTCTAGTAAAAACAGTTGGGAATGTTAGTACTGCATTTTAGTCCATAATTTGAGAAAAGAATGAGCTGGAAAAGCATAGTAAAAGTTGTGTCATACAGACTTATCGGGATGCCAGGCAAGACTTAGACCAAGCCAATGTCACGTGAGACCCAAGAAAAAAATATCTGCTTACACTCAGCCACTCACACTGGATACGGCATCTGACTGGATTACCAGAAGTGATATTCCTCACCATGTTAACTAGGCTAGGAAGGCAGAGATCATTGACAGTAGGAAATTTCATTTCTAGAACTTGTCATAGTCTGAACCATTAAATTGTGAAATAACTACTTATTTACATTTCTCATTTCTATTGTAATCTAAGAATGTGACCATAGGCAACAAACAAAAAAGGGTTATGTTTATTAATAATATTGCTTTTGCCAAGAGAACTTCCTAGTTTTTATTTTTATTTTTACTTTTTTTATTTTTTGAGTCAGAGTTTCACTCTTGTTGCCCAGGCTGGAGTACAATGGCATAATCTCGGTCCACTGCAACCTCCACCTCCCGGGTTCAAACGATTCTCCTGCCTCAGCCTCCCAAGCAGCTGGGACTACAAGCATGTACCACCGTGCCTGGCTAATTTTTTGTATTTTAGTAGAGATGGGGCTTCACCATGTTGGTCAGGCTGGTCTTGAACTCCTGACCTCAGGTGATCCACCCGCCTCAGCCTCCTAAAGTGCTAGGATTACGGATGTGAACCACTGCACCTGGCCTCCTAGCTTTTATTAAAATAGCTGTGCATATTTTTATTCTGCCCCAATGATAAATGTTTAATGTGACTTAGAAAGAAAAGGCTGGAAACTACTGGGGACTTCAGTGAACCATAACATAATCTGCAAACCTTAACTCAAAATAAGATCAAATGTATGAAGAAATTTACCACTTACCAGAAAAGCTACTGATTTCATACAGTAGAAGCCACGTCTATTTAGATAGACTAGCACTTCACTATGGCTAGACATAGCCTCTCCTGACTCCCACCATCAAATGTTTGTTACAAGATACTTTATAAAATATTGGAAAATAGTGTAACGATGCAAAATCAGAATGTAGTATAACAAAGCTAGATACGATCTCTCTCCTTGCTTTCCTTTATAAAAGTAAAAAAAATCCCCCATCCTATGTAAATGGAAGTTAAAATATGGTGCATATAATAGAGTCCTTTAAAAAATTCTGTATTTCCTTGGACATAGAGAGGTATGGAAGGCTTATCATAATTCTCCTAACCACCTAAGCTCTCCTCTTCTAACATTTTGTGTGCTATATTTTACTTGGTGGAAAATAATGTCCTTCCTGTATTACTCTCCCAGCTGCTGAGTGGTACACAAATTTATAAACTTAAAGTATAACATTTGAAAGAAAAAAGATTAGTATAACAGAATAAATGACTGATTGAAGGATCAGTTTAAGTAGGACCATTTAAAGTTAATCCAATTTAAATAGGAATAATACTAAGAAAAACAACCTTATTTTTGCATAATATTGACAATTTTTCATTGTGTCTAGATGAAGAAAAAAATTGCCACTGGGTACTATTTTTAATACTTTGAAATAATGTACAGAAAAGTTTAATTCAATTGACATTTGTACTCTTTCAGGAAAACTAAAACAAAAACAAAAACAAAACCCAGAAAATAACAAGAAGTTTTTGATAAATAGCACAAAAGTAATCTTAAAATATTCTTTGAAATCTACAAATTAGTCTCCAAACATTTTTTGGAACAATTTCCTATGAACAGCATTATGAAGATTTAGTTTCTAAATTCTCATGACCAACAGGTAAGTGCTGAAAAATAGTTTAAATTTTTCTTCATGCTGCCTGTTTTCTTAATAAAACTTAAAATATGTAAATACAGAAAAATAAAGTAACAAATGGCAGGACTTCAATTTTTACAAATGCATATGTAATAAAAGTTTGGATCAGAAAAAAATGCAGAGGATTGATTGACAAATCAGTCAGTACTAAGAGTTCAGGGTATCTGAACTTAATGTTTTGATGGCATTACTGCTTCCTGAAAGCATACCGATGTCTCAGCCAGAAATGGAATCTTTGTGGAGCACAGAACTCAGCATTGAAATCACCGTGCTTTGTTACTTTCCATTTTTATTTAATTAAGTGAGTTTCAAAACACTTTTATTTCATGAAATAAACCTAGCTTTTTATATTTTTAAAATTTTGAAACATAGAAATTTATGCCTGCAATCTGGGTGGTATATCTGATCACACACACCTTATCTAGTGGCAGACATAAAATTGAATTGAATTGAATATTATTCAATTCAATTTTTTGCTTTAGCAAAAACTAAAGTTCAGCAAAAACTAAAGTTTAGCATTAGCTCTCATAGGAAAAGTAATTTTCAGTAATTTACCCTGTTACATGTGTGGTTTAACATATTCTAATCATTTTTGGAGTCTTCTTATAATTTATATAAGTAATACCTCTATATAGGCTACCTATTTTATTGAATTTAGTAAGATATGCCAGTACATGCCAAATAGAAGAATTCTGGATTAACCCTAACCCCAAATTAACTGATCTTGAAAGATGTCCAGATATCCTTCCACATATTTACACAACCCAACTCAAATGTAAACTGACAATGAAAGACCTTTCCAAATTCTCTTCCATAAAGATTTAGAGAAAACTATTAAACCAGTTAATATGAGACAAAGGATATTATTTTATGTTCACTGACATTTTTCTAAATGATTTTTTGCAACTATGGTAATTAGGCTAAATGTCAAATGTGCCGTGTTGACTCTTGTCCGAGTCAGAAGTAAACAGGAAATTTCAGATTTTGACATTTTCATTCATATTGGAATTGTCTGATAATGACAGAGATCCAATACTACAGGTAATTATCCTGTTTATACAGACTGTGCAAAATGGGTATACCAGCTAATAACTCAGATATTTCACTTAATCAAACTTTCAAATGATTTTTCTTAGACTAATAACATCGATACAACAGGAACATAGAAAGTAAAACAAGAAAATCTTTATTATGTTTTTTCATGAGAGAAAGAGGTGGTAGAAAATCAAATGTTCAGATTTCCTGGGTTCTTTGAGTGTCAATAAGGACAAAGCTTTTTAAGTCTGTACATGATGCTTTAAAGGTGATTCAATTTAACTAGTAGATAGGAATAGTCCTAATGAAAACAACCTTATTCTTGCATAATATTGGAAATTTTTCATAGTGTCTCGATGAACAAAAAGTTGCCACTGGGTACTATTTTTAATACTTCGAAATAATATACAGAAAAGTTTAATTCAATTGATATTTGTACTCTTTCAGGAAAAGCAAAAACAAAAACCAGAAAATAATAAGCAGTTTTTGATAAATAGTACAAAAGTAATCTTAAAATCCTTGAAATCTATGAATTATTCTCCAAACATTTTTTGGAACAATTTACTGTTCCACTAACAGCAATATGAGGATTTAGCTTCTAAATTCTCACGACCAACAGATAAGTGCTGAAAAATAGTTAAAATTTTTGTTCATGTTACCCATTTTCTTAGTAAAGTTACATGCTATCAATAAATAGGTAAAATCTTTTCAAAAAACATCATTGATTTTTTATATTGGATATTGCTTTTGGTGTTAATCAGTCCTAACATTATGAAACGTAGCCATTGAGAAAATGATAGGTGAATAATAGTTATTTAAATCAAGTATGTTTTTTTTTTACTATGGTGAAAACCTCTGAAAACATTTTGGATATCTTAATTTTTATCAGAACTGATTCATCTGCTTTATTCATTTCAAAAATATTATTATGCTGTTGAAAGAAGAGTTTGTTAATAACAAATAGTCATGATTCCAACTCACATTTTGAAAAAGAAGCATGAAGCTGGAGGACTTGTGTAATTTCAAATTTTAATACAAAAGTACAGTAATCAACACATCAATATAATAATAGATATGTAGATCAATAAAACAGGATGAAGAACCCAGTAAAGAATCCACACATTTACAGTAAATTGATTTTTAACAAAGATGCCTAGGCAATTCAAGAGGAAAACAATAATCTTTACCACAAGTGGTGTTAGAACAAATGGATCGCTATATGCGAAACAAAAACCAAACCAAAACGAAAAACCTTAGATGCTTACTTTACACCATATACAAGTTTAAATAAACACGAATCTGAGACAAAAGTAGAAAAATTAAAATGATCCACATTTTCGAAGACAACATCTGATAAACAATGTGTGTCCTTAGGCAAGAATTTCTTAGACATGATTCTGAAAGCCTGATTCACAAAATAAAAACTGGCGAATTTGACTTCATCGAAATTGAAAACTGATGGTATTCAAAAGATCCTATTTCAAAAATGGAAAGGCAAACCACAAAGTGAGAAATATATTTGCAAATCATACATATCAGAAACACTTGTATCCAGAATATAGTTGTTATCTGTTGCCGAATTACTGTAATACTTAGCATCTCAAAACAACAAGTCACACAGTTTTGAGGGGCAGGAATCTGGAAGTGGCTTAGCTGAGTGGTGCTGGCTCAGGGTGTCTCAAGACAAGCTGTTGGCCAAAGCCGCAGTCATCTGGAGCTAGAAAATTCCGTGCACACTCACATGGTTGTTGGCAGACCTCGGTTCCTTGTTGGCTGTTGGAAAAATACCTCAGTTCCTTCTCCCAGGGGCCCTTTATAAGCCATCTGATTGTCCTCATGACACGGCAGCTGGATTCTCTGGAATGAATGATGCAAAGGAGTTTGGCAGGGGAGAGAAAGAAGCTGAGATGGAAAACACAGTCTCTTATAACCTAACCTTGGAAGTGATATACCATCATTTCTGCCGTATGTTGTTTGGTTCTTTTGGTCAGACCAATCCTAGAGCAATGAGGAAGGCACTGCTCAAGGGTGTAAATGCTAGAAGATGAGGTCATCTGGCTATTGAACAGAATACATAAAGAACTTTTGAAGCTCAATAATAAGTGACAAATAACAAGAAAATAGGCAAAATATTTCAATAGGCATTTCACTAAAGAAGATATACGTATGGCTAAAAATAAAATAATAAAAACACCAAATGAAGACATCCTCAACATCATCAGTCATTAGGAGAATGCAAGTTAAAATTACAATGTGATATCATTATATACCCACTAGAATGACTATAATCAAAAAGACTGACCATACCAAGTGTTGGCAAATATTTTGAGAAACTGGAACCTTTATACATTATTGGTGGGGATGTAAAATGGCACAACCCTTTTGAAGAACAGTTTGGGAGGTTTTAAAGTTAAGCATCCATTTACCATATGACTCAGCAATTCTAATCTTAGGTATTTATCCAAGAGAAATAAAATCATATATTTAGATATCCACATAAAGATTTGTACATAAATGTTTATAAAATCATCATTTACAACAGCCACAAACTGGAAACGACCCAAATGACCACCAATAGGTGACTGGAAAAAACAAAATTTGGCATCAATACAATAGAATGATACTCAGCAATAAAATAGAATAATCCATGCAACAAAATGAATGCATCTCAAAATCATACAAAATGAAATAAGTCATTTCTATGAGTTTTCTATTGCTACCATAATAATTCCTACAAACTGAATGACATAAAAAAATACAAATGTATTATCTTATCATTTTGGAAGCCATAAGTCTACATGGGTCTCACCAAGGTAAATTGACAGGGCTGTGTTTCTTTCTGGAGGCTCTAGAGGGTAATCTATTCTCTGACTGTTCCCTTCTAGAGGTCCCCTCCATTTCTTGACTCATGGCTCCCTTCCTCCAACTTCAAAGCCATCAATGGCAGACTGAGTCTTTCTTGCGTTGCATCTCTCTCACTCTTCTTCCATTATTGTATCTCTGTGACCCAGCTGAGAAAGGTTCTGTGCTTTTAAGGACTGAAGTGATTACATTGGGCCCATCCAGATAGTCCTGGATAACCTCCTCATTTATAAGTCTTATTTACATTGGCAAAGTCCCCTTTCCAGTGTGATGTAACATATTGACAAGTGCAGGGGGTTTTATTTTGCAAACCACACTTTTATATGAAATTTCTAGAAAAAGCAAAAATAAGTAGATGAAAATTATATCAGTATTTGCTGGGACTGGGGGTGGGAGCAGATTTCACTAAAAATGGACATTAAAGATCTTTTTAGAATGACAGAAGTTATCTAAAATGGAATCTATCATAGTTGCACAATTCTAAGTTTTACTAAAAATCATCAAGTTGAATATTTTCAATGGGCGAATTTTATATGTAAAATGTAGTTAATAAAATCATTAAATATTTTTAAGTGAATAGAAAAAAGCAAAGAAAAATAATTTATTGAAGTAGTTAATACTATTAAAATAAGCCCTGAAAACATGGACTTCTTATTTGGGATTTTGACTCTTGGTGAATTTCTGTTTTCTCCCAATCAATTAAATAGTGTTTTGGCTTTTGTCATAAGCACATTATGTTTACATTCAATATATCATCTGCTGATCTTAAACACATTCCTATTACATCATTTGATAGAAGTGCATAACTTTGAGACTTCTGAATTCAAGGCCCCCCAAAAAGCTTTTCTTTTAATACTTTCATTGGATAAATTATGAACACATCAACAGAAATGCTAGAATCAAATCTCATCATATTGTCTTTTCTTTTTTTTTTTTTTTTTTTTTTTTCTTTTTCATCACTAACTAGAAATAAATTAAAATGCCTTATTACTATATATGTGTAAAACTATGATTCATTATTATTAAGAATCATAACAAAGTCCATTCACCAATTAATTTTTTTTCACATAAATGTGTGGTGAAACATTTATTTACAGTTTCCTTTGCCTGGCAAGTGGTAAACCACAATACTGAAAATTTATGTCTTTTCTGAGTACGTAGACTTAGTGACAAAAGACCAAGCACTTCATACACATTTGCTCCAGAAGTACTCAGAAGGCTCATGTTACCCTAGTGAAGAATAAAAGTACACACTCTGCACCTTTATTAGTGATGAATCATTAATTTATTATGATTGGACTTAAAGTTATGAATGAGTCAGCTAACTGAACTGTGTGAAATGGTGGGTGGTACAGGGAGAAGTTTGATGCTGACATATTTAACTATAGATGTTAATGTCTTGCTGTGTATATTCCCATGATGAAATTGATTCTGCTTTTGCTTTGTGCCTCGAGGTCTCCTACAATTAAAGGTGTAATGTCTATGCTTTGCTTTGAAATGAAGAGTTATCCAAAGAGAAGGTATTACCATATTACAGAGCTATCTGATTAAAGCTTGCCAAAACATTATGGACAAGAGTGAGCGCCCTAATAGTGCATGCCAACATGATCTCATCTTGAAGTATGAGAACGTAAGAATCAGCACATACTTCTAAATACTTCCTTCAAATAAATAAAGAGAGGCTAATTGTTTAGCTCATTTATTTTATTTTATTATTTCTTCACTATAATTTTTCCTACTCTACTTTTACTATTGTGGACTTTTCATAATCCCTTAAAATTGATGGCCATGTATTAGCATGTAATTTAAAAAGCTTCAATTTCTTTTCCCATGTATGGGTTATGTTAACAAAAGAATCAGGAGTTAAATAGATATATCCATGGGAAATGCAATTTTAGAGATGTTTATCAATGTCTATATTTCATTAATTATTTATAAAGTAGGGCTTTGAGGCAGAAACAATTTTTCCATTATATCTGTAACCATAAAAGATGAAAGATGCATTCACTTTTTTTCTTCAACTTTTATTTTAAGTTCCAGGGGATGTATTCATTTTTAACTAAGTGGAAGTAATGCTTGAACCATGAATAAAGATACAGATTCATTTGATGAGGTTTTGTTGGTCTGATTCATTAATAGTTTTTTAAACGTTAACATTCTTACCAAGCAATTTTTATTTCTTAAAAAAAAATCCTGAGTTTAATAACAGGTTAGAGTAGTTTCTGTTACCAAAATGACTTTGGAATTCCACATAATTAGAATCAGATAAAATGTATGTTCTGCAACCAATTTCAAGGGTGCTATTTTAAAAAACCATGACAACACCAGGATTTAATTTCTGACCTGTTTCTCAGATCTTTTTATTTAATCTGCAATCCAGCATTAAAAAAAAAAAAAAAAATTCCCACAAGGAAGCACTGGACTTAAGACAAGATAAACCCAGGTAAAGAATTATTTTTCTTGAGAAGTGACTGGGATCAAGAGAGACTGAGAGACCTTTTGTTTCTTGTCAGGAAACCTGGATTTCCATTCGATTCCCACGGAAATCTATTGTGCAATCTAGAAATATTTTATGTCCTTAGCATAAATGAATGGAATTGACTATATAAACTTTTATGAAAGTAAGTTCTAAAACCCTATTCTAGAACTCAAAACGTTAATACCTTGTCTATAAACAAATGGGTTGAAAAGTCACCTTTGAAGTTTAGAAGCTGTATCTTAAATTCTAGGCATGTTCATGAAACCACAGGTTTACTGGAGCAGATAAAATAAGGAAAACCTTGTGAAAATTTCTCAGAAGTTAAACCCACCAGAAATGTGCATAATTTTTGCATTTTCCACATCTAAGCTTCTGGTCAATTAGAAAGACTATGGTCAAAAGGGGTACATTGCTTAGATGCTGGCATTGATTTAATTAAAAGGAAAAATGGAAGAAAATGAATTCTAAGAATGGGGCAAATCTTAATGTCTTAATTTGTTTTGTGCTGTGAGTCTGAGCAATTTATAAAGAACAGAGATTTATTTCTTACCATTCTGGAGTAATACACAGCAATTTAGGCTTTTCCTAGCCTGCTCCTCTAAATTCTTCCATACTCTACCCATTACCCAGTTCCAGAGTGGCTTCCAGTTTTAGGTATTTGTTATAACAAGGGTGCCACTCCTTCGTACCAATTTTCTATCATAGCCCATTCTGTGCTGCTATAATAGGATACCTGAGACTGGGTAATTTATAAAGAACAGGGATTTATTTCTTACAGTTCTGGAGGCTGAGAAGTCCAACATTAAGGTGCTGGTATCTGGCGATGGCTTTTGTGGTGCATCATCCTATGGCAGAAGGTGGAAGGGTAAGAAAGCATCAGAAGGCAAGAAAGAGTTGAAATCACTTTTATCAGGAACCCGTTCCCATGATAATTAATCCATTCCTGTGATAAGAGCATTAATCCAGGTCTGAGCCCTCATGATCTAATTACCTCCTACAGGTCCCGACTCTCAACACTGTTGCATTGAGAATTAAGTTTCCAACACGTGGAGATAGGTCAGCCTGTCTCAAGAGAGGGGTCACTTGTGTGTAGGGCAAAAAGGGGTTATGGGAAGACTTTATTTTACCTGTTACTGTATCTCTCTCACCAAGCTCTCTACCAGCTCTCATGAAAATGTGCATTTTGGGGGACACATTCAAACCACAGCTGTTAAGTAACTCTCATTTTCCCCTTGTTCCCATACCCATAGTCAAGCTACATGAAATGTTTTTTTTTTTTTTCCCAATTAGAAGTAAATAGTTGTAGCTACTTCAGTTTAGTAAATATCACTGAATAGCATTTCATGAGACAAATTCAGTAGATAAACCTAAAGGTCCTTGCTGACATTTTTTCATGTCAGTCTTAATAGTTTCTTAATCTCATTTTAATTATCTTAGTTTAAAAGCCAGATTCTAAATGGGTTACATAGAATGACCAGTGGACAAAAACTAAAGGAGTCATTTTAGATTTTAGGTTGGAGGCTTTTTTTTTTTTGAAACAGAGTCTTGCTCGGTGGCCCAGGCTGGAGTGAAGTGGTGCAATCTTGGCTCAGTGCAACCTCCGCCTCCCGGGTTCAAGCCATTCTCCTGTCTCAGCCTCCCGAGTAGCTGGGTTTACAGGCATGCACCACCATGCCCAGCTAACTTTTGTAATTTTAGTAGAGATGGGGTTTCGCCATGTTGGCTGGAGGGTTTTAAATGAGTATTTGCTCCTATTAGAGGCTGCCTTGGTAGTCATTGCCAGATCTGGTGCCTTGTACGGTGCCTGGTGCATGGGAGAGAATTATTAAATGTTGGATTAATTAACAGACATACCTCAACCAGGCTTTATTGGGTCAGCTTGTCTTAAGAGAGGGGTCACTTGTTTGTAGGGCCAAAAGGGGTTATGGGATGGGTTTATTTTACCTGTTACTGTATCTCTTTCACCACGCTCTCTACCAGCTCTCATGAAAATGCTGCTCTCTGTACCTTCCCTGACCATATATTTCCAGAAATGCCACATCACAAATATTACACAGGAAATAAAGCATCTAAAATTGTAAACCCTCTGACCAGAATGTCTTTCATCTGACCGAGAACTTGAGCTAAAAAATCAAACCCCAAACCTCATGGAATTTTAAAATTTGGGGTTTCTGGTGCTGAATATTTTGTGATTTGTCTTCTCTTGAGGCTTAAAAATTTTTTATGTACTGGTGCAAGTAAATATAGAGGTAGAAAATAAATAGGCTTTTGTTGGACAAGTGACTTTGAGTGCACACTGTAACGTGTTTGAGGAGAGATTTTATAATAAAACTTAGTTGGTCCAACAAAGCCTAAATGTTTATGTAGCTCATTCAAACTTGTCTGTGTCCTCAAATTGACACTGTTTTACTTCATGCCATATCAGATAAAGTTTAATGTGTTTATCTCTAGGAGAAAGAGCTTCTTGTCAAACACGAAAATAAGAGAGAAAGAGGTGGAGTTTCCTCACTGAAATTAGTCAGTAACATGCTGTGTCTATTATGAACCCTCACATTCAACAAAGTGGAGAATGCCAGGATACTGCAGCAAATGGAGTTTTGCTGAAGATCAAAGCAACATAAGCTGCTGTAACAGACTTTATGTTCTGTCTTTGCATTTCCTGTAGGTGGTGAGCTCCTGAATTGTGGTAATTACCAGTCCCTGATTGAAGGCAATTCATTTCCTTCCTGACACTGAAAATATCAAAAACCAAGCTGCCTCTCGATGACCCTGACTTTACAGCCCATTTGTAATTATTCTGATCAGTTGCAAGGGGAGGTAAGAATTAGAATATGTCTTGTTTAAGAGATTCTTTAAGTTCCTTGCTGGAGCTTATTTTTAAATACCCTCGGTAATTTGTTTTATATTCATAAACAAACTAATTTGATCACTTCAAATTCTTACCAAGTTTTAATTAGTCTGTTAATAAAAAAATTATAGCTTATCCAAGTATACTTTTACAAAAAATTGTATCTTAATAATTCTATTACTTAATTGAATTGCAAAATTAAAATTGTGCACAAACATTTTTTAGGTTGAAAAGTTTAAAAAGAAAAAAGCATGTACAAAAATACACTCTAGTTTTCATTTTCAGATAGAGTAATTATATCTGTCATATATAAAATTTATATATATGAAAGAATCTATATTTTTCATATATTTATATATAAAAGTAATCATATATATGATTTTTACCTTAGGTAGCTCCAAAGATAAAATTCTTAAGATTGATAGAGAGCTGAGAAGAAATTTTAAATAGTGGATATAACTTGTAATCATTTAAGATTTAATTAAGTCACATTTTCAGCAGATGTCCTAATAAATACAATAGTAGTAATTAGCATTATTATTAGGATAGTACCTGAAATAAAGGGTGTAAACATTACATAAAGCTTGGATAGAGAGCTGTAGGCTCAGAATCAAAAAACTTCAGACTGGAAACATACCTGAAACAACCTTAGTCAATTCCTGAGTTTTACAGTTAAAATTCAGTTTCAGACAAACAAACTGTCTCAAGTTAAATTGTCACTTAGTGGCTTAGTTGAGGCAATAATTCGTGTCTTCTACTTCTAATTCATTTACTCTGGTTTTTTAACATTTTTAACATCACTATATGTATTGAACTATTCCTATAATTATTAATTTAAACTCTCAAGTTAAACTTTTACATACAGAATAATACCTAAACATATTTTATATAGTGCTATACGTCTGGTAGATAACATTCAATTTTTTATTGCTTACTCCATATTTATTTCTTTTGTACCAGCATAATTATGGCAGTAGAGGAAAGTTAAAAAGAAAGGGCAAATGCACACAATTTTCACCATCATATATAATTTTTAGTTTTTACTTCTAGAATTTATCCATGCTTACATGTTTTCTGAAGTTGTAATGATGAGGAAATACAATCTTTGTTCTGTTTTATTTAATTAACATTATATTATGACATTGTCGTGTTCACAATTACTAGTTTAGCAACTACATAATATTTCACTGACTTAATTTGATAATTATCCAGTCATTTCCCTCTTGTGAGTGATTAGGTCATTTCTAATATTACTATAAAAAATGCTGTTGTGAATTTCTTTGTGTACATTGCTTTTCTATATTGTTTGTCTTTTGATTTTTTTGTGTGGATAAATCATATTATGCTTATATGGATAAATTATGTCATATAAGTTCGTGTGATTAAACAGCACAGTCCCTCTTTTACCTGAAGTGGAACATGAAAACAGCAGAGAAGCTACAGGCAGGACTGGCCCTATGTGCAGAAGGGTACCTAGAAGTCTGCAAAGATAATTTATAGGACAACCCCCCAAATCACCCCCAGTGGTCTTTCCTAAAATTTCCAACAATGCAATTTCTCAGTACCTTTTTAAGAGGTAAATTTTTAATAAAATTAAGGCATTTCTAGACTAAACAAAGGAAAAGCATTAGCTAACACATATGCAGGATGTAGTTTACATGGTTAATTCCCATTACCAATCATAAATTCTTAGGCAGCATAGACTCAATCCTTCAAACAAGTATTAAGAACAATATTGAGAGCATGACGCTATTATGTCTCTTGAGTGAAAGAAAATAAGATAATTGAACTTCAATCTCTCATACATTATAAACATGTTTCCTACACAAAACACATACCAGTCAATGAAAAGATCATGCTTTTCACAAGTTCTTTAGGACTCAGGCCCAGAATTCACAAGATTGTTGTGATTTAGTCACTCATTAGTGTTCAGCATTTATTTTCCTGGCATATACAGCTATACAGCTACCATGTATTGCAAAGCTACAATGTCTCAGCCACTTTTTTTCATGATCTCATTTCATCCTTATAATAACTCTATATAGTATCTATTATTTCTCTCATTTTACATATGTGGACATTAAGGCCCAGAATGTTGAAGCATTTTGCATAACATCACAAGCTCTGAGTTATGAAGTGGCATAGCCAAAATTCACCTTTCTCTGAATGATTATTCTGTAAGTACTCCTTAGTGAGCAGGGATTTCTACCATAATATGTCAATAGTTTTTTGGGGCTATCCGAATTCTCTTGTGATTTTTCTATTCATAAAACTTGAAAAACCTCTTAGTTAATTCTTTTTCCCAGAATGTCAGTCATGCTGGACTTTTACTTTACTGTTAAACACATAACTAGAGAAGTGCAAGTGGGAACCACATTTATGACCCAAAATGAACTTTTCAAAATTTTTTGAAATGCTATAAATATTTTGCACTCACTCTTCATGACTAAAGTGTACTAAAGTCACAACAGATATTCCAAATCAGCAGTTGTGTTGCCAATGGAATCTCAACAATATTAATTCAGATTTAACAACCACTCTGATTCATCTCCTTAGATTCAAGTCCCATAAAAACACAGGATGAAGTCTCATGACTTTTATTAAAATGTCTGTAAATATAAGCCCTAAAAAGCAATGAACTCTGATATGGTGTTTGGATCTGAAAAATTTTGGAGAAGAAAAAGAATGTAAGAATGTACCTGCACCATAAACATAGCAACTTCAGATTTAATGACATTTTTTGTTAAATTTTGTTCAGTAACTAAGCTGATCTCTTAGAAAATCATTTAAAATTACTCACAAGAATGTAATTATGTAGTGTTGGAATGATCTTAGTACACAATCGAAAAAAAAAAAAAATCCTTTCTTTCATTGCCTCAAAAACTTCACCCAAAAAAGGATTGAATGAATTCCAAGTTTTTAAAGGTTAAGAATTCTACTACAAATTTAACTTCAAGGAGAAAATACTCTAAGTTATAATTAATGAATTATTGGTAA